AAAAAAATGAACATAAAAGTATTTATGATGAACAGTCCTAGAATATTTTGATAAGAAACCGTCAGTTGTAAAATGTTTTTGTTATCTGATAATGAACAGTCGTCATACTTGCTGGTATGTCATTTATTATTGACAGTTTAGGGTTTTCAAAAATTTGCATGATTAACAGTCCGAATGTAGACCTCGATTAAATGTTCTGGAATATTAACCATATATATGAATGGTTGAACACAACAGTAAGGATAAATAGCGCAATGTGCATATCTTTTTATTTTGGTAGCATATTTTAAGCAAAAAGAAAAGAAACTATAAGTCTGAAACATTCTCTCATAGCCTCCCCATCAGTACATTCAGTGCTTTGATTATTAAATGGCTTTATTACACTCCTGCGCCGCGGTTTATGTGATAAATGCGTTATGGTGTTGTGATTACTATACAAGTTTATTTGTCTATACTTTGCTTCTCTTTTTCTTGTTTTGTTAACTTAATCTGAGGTTAAGCAGTTATTTTAACTTTCTCAGGATTTAATAGATGAGGTTAAGCAGAGGTCGGCTCAAGAGGATGATTCCAACATGGCGGATGTCTCGATTTGGGATTTTGCGGGGCAATATGTATTCTATGCCACTCACCAGGTGTTCTTATCTAAGAGAGCGGTGTATTTGTTAGTCACAGACATATCTAAACACGTGGAGGACACAGTAAAAGATGACGACTGTTTCTTAGATAGTAAAGGTGTCAAACATTGGAAAATTTCAGGTATGCTATGGTTATAAAATATATACTATAAAATATAAAATGTCTTCATGCTTGTCGATGTGTTATTTGCAGACAAAAAGTACTGAAATGTTGAATATATCATATATGAGCCGCGTCACGACAAAACCAACATAATGGGTTTTCGACCAGCATGGATCCAGACCAGCCTGCGCATCCGCGCATTCTGATCATGATCCATGCTGTTCGTTATCAGTTTCTCTACTTGTTATAGGGTTTGTAAGGGAACAGCATGGATCCTGATCAGACTGCGCGGATGCGCAGGCTGGTTTGAATCCATGCTGGTCGCAAACCCATTATGTTGGTTTTGTCGTGACGCGGCTCATATGATGCGAAAAAACAAGAATATAATTATATCTCAAATCACTTAATGTTTGGTGTGAACGAATTATGTAAAAACTTGTAAGAAGTTTGGAAACAAAACCTTAACAAAACATTTTAAAGACTTATAAACTTATGTGAATGTAATTTAGACTGACCATTTAATTAACTGATGAAAAATATTTTGTTCTGGAGCACTTTATTATCTGTTGTATAAATGTATTTAGAATAGGACTTGCCAACAACTTCCATTCATAATTCTTTCGTGGTTTGTAGTTATGTCTAATTCTTAATACTATCAAAGTAATTATTTATTTTATCAAATACCTTACAGTTTAGATCAATGCACCTGGAATGTTTATTATATCAATATTTTGTACATTTATATCTATGCCTTTAATTATGATAATTTTCAGAATTCGTTGATTTCTGGTTAAATTCCATCCACGAGTTTTGTGGTTCGTCGGATGACGGGGGCCCACCGGTCCTGCTGGTTGGAACGTTTGCAGATAAGATAAAACAAGTGATGTGATATTCTTTTTATTATACCATAATTATGTTTTAATAATGTTTAAAAAAATATATACATATCGGTCCCAGTGGTGTTTATCGGCTATTTTGCACCAGTTTGAAATTTTAATGCGAAAGAATTGATCGCGAAGCATTGCTTAAAAAACCTCTATGAAATTATATTATTTATACTCCAAGGATCAAAAAAGACACCACCATAATTGTGAATTAGTTCTAATTTTGTAGAAAAAAGGCCTTAAAAGTCCTCTTATCCTCCAATGCCTACATCTAGATATTTTGAATGTAGACACAAAATTAGCCCGAGAGGTAACTTAGTTTAGATAAATCTCTATCAGATACACATTTAAAACTTTTGGAAAATTACAATGTATAGAGCTTAGACATTTGGTCCGTAACATTTCCTTACGGATCTTTACAGGTATAATATAAGATTAAAATTTCATTTCCAGTATTATCTATTTACTATGTAATGCTTTGAACAAGTGTGACCATTTCTAGCATTGGATTTCAGGTGAGCGATCTGAGGCCACCATGACCTTCTTGTCACATATTGTAATTTTTCTTTCAGAGCAAAACTGCGTACGAAAATTACTTATCGTTTCTTATTTTATAAAATGTTAATGTTATCTATGTAGTTTAGTGTATTATTTTAAAGAATAGTTTTATTCCATAGGAATCAAAACAAGAGACAATAGACGATTTTTTCTATACATTGAGGAGCTCGCTGGTTGACAAGGTAACCAGTAATCATCTTATAGAGGAAGACTTTGCCATTGATAATACTGTCAAAGACGGCAATATAGATTTATTGAAACAACAAATTGTAAAAACCGCTTCAACACAATCGTATTGGGGAGAGCTTATTCCCGCGAAGTGGATAACATTGGAAAACAGCATTTCCAGTCTGAAAAATAAGGGTTCCAAGGTAGTAGTATGATTTATACAATTTCAGTAATCAAAAGAATGAAAGCGAATGTATAATTTATTCTTAAAATGTCTTTGAAAAATGAAAGCTAATTCTATTTCCGTAAAAGTTAAACAAATAGTTGGAGTTATCCAATTATAATTGTATGGCAAATTAGGCTGAGGAGTTGCCTTTAAGAATTGGGGCATCATAATTGCAGCCACCGTTTATCCCTGCGAAATCGTAAGAGGCGACTAAATGGCTTCGAATTACTGGAGTCTATGCATCTGTTAGCTCCAGCAGGTGAGGTGGTTTTGACCCCTGATGTTGCTTTAAGTTTGTTAAGTCCAAGTTTAGCAAAATTCATCTGTCCTGTTTCTGTGCCATTTGATCTGAATTGTGTTGGTGCGCCGGAAAGCCAAACAAAACAAAACAAAAACATGGTATGCATATAATGGTATAATATAAAAGTAGTCATATTGGATTAAATCTGATCAAATGCACGCTGTGAAGAATACAGAATATCGAAAAGTGATGTCACACGATCAGTGTTGGATTGTTACCGGGCTACTGATATCATACCAGTTACTTGATTACACTTAACGCGAATGAAAAGCATATTTGATTATGATTTTTGTCTTTCAAAATATTTAAGGTGTAAGAATAATAGTGATTACAGAAATATGTCTGTTCTTTCTTTTGGTTAGTTATTCTTGCAGTATTATTTTTGTGTCGCCTCTACAGAATAGCGGCGATATATAGGGATCACGTCTCCCTCATCCGTCTGTCCGTCCGTCACTAAACCTGTCCAGACCACTTCTCAGAAACTACTGGTGCAATTTTCATCCGAATTTTACAGGAATGATCAGACCAAGTATAGTTACTAGTATGCATATCGTCGGCATTTTCCGGTTCAATGATTTTTGTCAGAGTTATGGCCCTTTAATGATTTTTATTTTTTAAGTTTTGTTTCGGACTACTCGTATATCACTAATGCAATTTAAATTAAACTTAACAGGATTGACAAGTTCTTGCATATATTAAACGGGTTTTCCGGTTGAGTAATTTTTGGCTGAGTTATAGCCCTTGAATATAAAAATGTGTATTTGTGTCTCCTGCTACACAGTAGCTGCAGCATGCAAATGGCTATCATGTGGCGACACGTGATCACTGATCGCTCTTGTCTTGCACACCGAATGATTTTTGAAAAACTTTATGTCTTATTATACTGTAGATTCTACATAAAGACATGCTGCGACGTCTAAACAACACATTGCCTGTTCCCATAGAAACCGATGATGAACTGGAATTGTTTCTAAGGTTTCATCATGAATCTGGAACTATTCTATATTACAGGTATAGTATCACTTTGCGGATGTTTCGAAATTCAAAATTTTCATGTTCTGCTCAAGCCGGTGGTAGTGGGCGTCGACGGTAGTTTGCACTTGACAGTACCGTCCATGAACAGGCTCAATCAATCCGAGCCTGCAACATTTTTAATTTTGGACTTTATTTAGAGGTTCTTATTTTCTCTATTTTTAACCTCGTCAGATTTCTTCCATGATCTAAATTAAGTTGTCACCTCAGAGGATAGTTGTCCTATGTACCATTTTGTTTCATTTTGAGGAAATCGCTCTGAAAGTTTAAGAAGCTCAGGTTTCAATAATTTCTGAACGAAAAAAAAAGAGAAAATAAGAATCCCTGAAGAAAGTCCATAAAAGGAAAAAATTGAAATTGTTGCAAGCTCGCTTTGATTGAGCAAAATATTACCAGGGATCTTCATTTATGACGTCAATTCGCAAATTGTTATTACATATAGAGGAAGTCGAGAAGAATACAGTGAAAACTTTATATTAAAATGTTGGTTCATTATTTGTTTTAACATTTTAATTATTGCTTAATTATTTTTTTACAATTCTGATGTTCTTTCCAATATACCGGTATTCAACTTTTTGAAAACTTTAAAGCTAAAACTTTATTTGTTTCAGCGATGATAAGTTAAGTGACACAATTGTCCTTGACCCTCAATGGTTGATCGACGCTTTCAAGAGCCTTATTACCGCCAAAATGTTCTGCTGCAGAAAACCGAACATATTCAAGAAATGGATTCAGTTTGACCAGACAGCAATATTGACTAGAGAACTTATTGGTGAGTGTAATGTTCAGGTATTTGTGATGTCAGGGTCTTTCTTTTTGAAAGAGCCTTGTGATGTTTCCCGCCAAAGAAAATTTTCTTATATCGGCCAATATCGTAGTAAATCGGTTATTTCCGGAATGTTATTTTTTTTCAAAATATTGGGCATTACAATATTTACAATCACTCATCCTTTATCGCAATGCACTAAGTTCCGGTTACAAACGGTTAAGAATTATTGAATACCGAAAATTGTGAAAAATAACGCTCCGGAAATGACCGATTTAGTACGACATCAGCCGATGTTAGAGATTTTTGGCGGGAAAGTATTGCAGTAACACTACCTTGAAAGGACTTTGCCGAAATATTCTATGTATATAGCATTAATATATAGCATGTTATTTTTCAGAAACAGATAGGAAGGTTTTACAAAATGTTTTATAACATTTACTCAGAATATAGATTATAATAGGCAAAAAGTAAAAATGGAAATTCAACAGGGCACAATTGTAAATATTTAAATAAAGTTGAAAGGTCTGTTTAATTGAGCATTGAACGATTGTTGTTCAAGCAAGCTATCATTCATCCCCATCCCTAGCACCGACTTAAGCATACATGTAATTAGTAATTTACGTTAGCTATTTTATGTATGAAAATGGTGAAAAAAAGTCTGCTGACGGCTTGATACGCAAAATTTCATTGCAGAAACGTTCAATGCTTGAAGTCGCAAAAATAAAGTAATACGCATGCGTGCCCTTTGCAAGAAAGCATTCGGTGGCAGGAAAAAAGATACATGCAAGAATACGTAAAGTGTATTTGTTTCAAGGGCATTATTGCAGAAATAATAATCAACATTGCTGTGTGACTTTACCAAGACCCAAATATTAAATTTGATTTATATTGTAACAACTGATGCAGAATTTTGGTTTTAATATTTTATAGATGCAATTTGGGAGCAGAAAGAGAATAGTGCGTTTTATGAGCTCAAGGACCTTCTACTAAATTATTTGGAGAAACTTGGATTCATCGCTAAACCACAGCAGCTTTCCGATGTTACTGATGTAAGGATAAATTCATTAAAATGTCTAAGCATTTTGTACATGCACATGGGCCCTGAAAATCAGGAAAATGGGGTCTTGCAACCGATTAACCTGGAACTTTTTGCAAGTCGCAATCAGATTTATTTGATTGCTTACACTGAAACAAAATTTTGCTGTTTATATTGTTTTTTTTTGTTGTTGTTTATATTGGGTTTTTTGTTTGTTTGTTTTTTGTTGTTGTTTTTTTGTTTTGTTTTTATTGGAGGGGATGTTGGGTAGGGGTGTTGTTTGTTTGTTGTTTGTTTAGGTTTTTAGCTCACCTGTCACAAAGTGACAGGGTGAGCTTTTGTGATCGCTTTTCGTCCGGCGTCCGTCCGTCCGTCCGTCCGTCGTCCGTCCGTCGTCCGTCCGTAAACTTTTGCTTTAAATGACATCTCCTCATAAACCACTGAGCCAATTTCATCCAAACTTCACAGGAATGTTCCTTTGGTGGTCACCTTTAAAAATTGTTCAAAGAATTTAATTCCATGCAGAACTCTGGTTGCCATGGCAACCGAAAGAAAAATCTTTAAATATCTTCTTTTAAACAACCCTAAGAGCTAGAGCTTAGATATTTGGCATGAAACATCTTCTAATGAGTGTCTACCAAGTTTGTTCAAATAAAAGCCCTGGGGTCAAAATTGGCCCCGCCCCGGGGGGTCATTGATTTTCCCTATATGCATATAGTAAAAACTTAAAAAATCTTCTTTTAAAGAACTGTAAGAGCTAGAGCTAAGATATTTGGCATGGAACATCTTCTAGTGAGTGTCCTACCAAGTTTGTTCAAATAAAAGCCCTGGGGTCAAAATTGGCCCCGCCCCGGGGGGTCATTGATTTTCCCTATATGCATATAGTAAACACTTAAAAAAATCTTCTTTTAAAGAACTGTAAGAGCTAGAGCTTAGATATTTGGCATGAAACATCTTCTAGTGAATGTCTACCAAGTTTGTTCAAATAAAAGCCCTGGGGTCAAAATTGGCCCCGCCCCAGGGGGTCATTGATTTTCCCTATATGCATATAGTAAAAACTTAAAAAATCTTCTTTTAAAGAACCCAAAGAGCTAGAGCTTATATATTTGGCATGAAACATCTTCTAGTGAGTGTCTACCAAGTTTGTTCAAATAAAAGCCCTGGGGTCAAAATTGGCCCCGCCCCAGGGGGTCATTGATTTTCCCTATATGCATATAGTAAAAACTTAAAAAATCTTCTTTTAAAGAACCGTAAGAGCTAGAGCTTAGATATTTGGCATAAAACATCTTCTAGTAAATGTCTACCAAGTTTGTTCAAATAAAAGCCCTGGGGTCCAAATTGGCCCCGCTCCAGGGGGTCATTGATTTTCCTTATATGCATATAGTAAAAACTTAAAAAAAAATCTTCTTTTAAAGAACTGTAAGAGCTAGAGCTTAGATATTTGGCATGAAACATCTTCTAGTGAATGTGTACCAAGTTTGTTCAAATAAAAGCCCTGGGGTCCAAATTGGCCCCGCCCCAGGGGGTCATTGATTTTCCTTATATGCATATAGTAAAAACTTATAAAATCTTCTTTTAAAGAACCCAAAGAGCTAGAGCTAAGATATTTAGCAAGAGACATGTTCTAATGGGTGTCTACCAAGTATGTTCAAATAAAAGCCCTGGGGTCAAAACTGGCCCCGCCCCGGGGGTCATTGATTTTCCTTATATACATAGCAAAAACTTAAAAATCTTCTTTGAAAAAACCCAAATAACTAGAGTTTAGATATTAAGCATGAAACATCTTTAAGTAAATATCTACAATGCTTGTTCAAATAAAAGCCCAGGGGTCAAAACTGGCCCTGCTTGAGGGGTGTCGTTGTTTTTAAATATATGTGTATAGTAAAAACTTAAAAAAATCTTCTTTTAAAAAACCCAATGAGCTAGAACTTAGATGTTTTGCATGAGACATCTTCTTATGGGTGTCTACCAAGTCTGTTCAAATAAACAAATAAAAGCCCTTGGGTAAAAATTGGGCCGGGGGGGGGGGCTATATACAGGTGAGCGACCTCAGGGCCATCATGGCCCTCTTGTTTATGATTTTTTTCTTGTTATTGTTGTTGTTGATTTGAAATTATTTTTGGGGGGAGAGGGGGTGTTTTTAAGGGGGCTAACACTTACAGATGAGAGATGTAACATGAATAATAACTACAGCAATGTGTATGTCAAGATTTCAGATTAGGTCAGACCCAAATAACCATATACAGTTATACAACCCCTTTCCGCTCACTTTATGACAATAACTTGATCCTTTGTAATTTGTATTTCTAAAGTTTATTATATTGAAAATACACTTTATCTTTTTTACTGTTGAAAATAGTCGAATTTCCTCGCGTGAAAGAATTCGATATCCCTATCGGGATTCGAGCCCAGAGCGGTAAATATTCTATACACATAATCAGTAAATCAATATTATATGTTAAACTATTACAGGAAACAGATTACTACTTTGCTCCGTGTGTCCTGAAACACCCGCCGCCAGATGACTTGTTAATACAACAAGACAACACGGACAACAGGTCCACCAGTAAACTGTGTTTGACAACCGAATTAAGATTTCTACCCACAGCTGTCTTCAACAAACTCCTAGCCGCTTGTATCAACAAATGGCCACTGTCCAAATCAAATTCAAAACATTTAATATTCTGCGGGTGTGCGGTCTTTGATCTCGAAGGAAATCATACACTTTATTTGTACTTTTTCGATCACGTTATTCAGATTTGGATTACAAAATTTAGCACCCAGAACAAAGAGCCATCCAAACGTTTATGTTCCCAAGTTTACGCATTTGTCTTAGACTCTCTCTCCAACAGCTTGCACCTTTCGGATCATCTGAAGGTGTTCTTCAAATGCCGGTCTTCTCAGCATAATTCAATTGAAGACATGTTTTCAGAAGGTGAACTTTCAAAAGATAAAGAGATTGTTTGTAACTGCAGGACCAAAAAGCATGTGTTACAAACTAATGAGCTAACCAGTTACTGGCATTGTAAGTAAATGTTTTCGTTTTTATTTAGACTTTTAACAATTTAGCTTAGAATATTTTTGTTCATTACAGAAAACCAAGTTTTCAAATAACCTTTGTTTCTCCGCAAGTGGCCGACTGACTACAGTACTAATCCCATATGATGTTCGAATCAATGGTAAGAGACAAATGACATTAGACTTAATGTCGGAGGTCAATTTTGTTACGGAAACATATAGGTTCGCCCAATGATCGAACTAGCCACCGCTGGATTGGTTTAAACATATTTTATTCGTCACATAAGCATATTTACATACATGATATTTACAATCAATACACGAAAATGATTAGAATGGAAGCAACCTAATGCTTATTGAAGTCTTTTCCCAATGTACAATAAATATATGTGCAAAATAAGGTGAAAGAAATTGTCGTTTGTTAACTAAGAAGACTGATCTGTTTTATCTTACATCGAAAAATGAATAAATATATATAAATCAATTATTTAAAAGAAAAGCATAATAAGACTAGTAATGGTACTATTTTGATGAGTGCAGATAGAAGGAAGAATAAGATAGAAAAAAGGAAGAAAATAAACAACAGAAAACCTTCTTGATTAACAATCTGGTGCTCTCCCTTATGAACTAAGCGAACTGAAGTGATAAATTGCCTTTGCAAATGTAAAATTTATATTCGAATTCCAACAAAGTATCAAATATATAACCAGTTCAATAAAAGCAAATGCTTTTCTGCAGCTTTCGACGTTTTGTCTTCTTCAGAAAAAAATTACGTTTATTTATAAATAATATCGGTTTTAGCGGTGTTTATGCGCATAAAACACCGGTTTGGAGTTTTGATGCGTAGGAATTGACCACGAAGGCCGTAGGCCTGAGTGGTTAATTTTTTCGCATCAAAACGACGAATCTTTCAATTAAAACATTGCTCAATGTATACAGCAATATATAATACAATATACATAGAATATGGATCTACACACATGATACGAAAATTCTCATAATTTATAATGATATAGAAAATCTTAGAAATGAGAAAAAACATACTATCTATGTATATCGGTCCAATACATGACAAAGTTATACATTGTACACAACTTTTGCATTCATACCATTAGGAGATAAGGGTTTTTAGCTTATGAATCCAATACGATTCTTTCAACATATTATCATAAATCCTAAACAGTTTTCATACCATATCTTAAAGTGTTTCTTATGTTCTTTAGGTACAGAGGAAGATGTCCCTGAAGAAATGTTAACAGATAAAGACATCCATCGCATTGCTCAAAACATTGGTAAAGAATACGAGACGCTCGCGTTAGAACTTGGTCTATCCCAAGCCGAAATGGATCACATAAATCTAGATTCCAACACTGCCGTAGACAGAATAAGACGTATGCTTCTTCGATGGAGAGATAAAATGAAAGGGGAAGCTACTCTGTACACTTTAACAGAAGCTATGAAAGCTGTTGGAATTGATTCTAGTACAGTTTTAGAAAGTGCAAAAAGTCCGTTGTAGATGTAACAGGGTGAGAAAAATGTGCAGCCTGGCTGGGCTTTAAAACCGGGACCCTTGGAATGCCGTTCCGCGGCTCTACCGACTGATTACACATCTTTTCCCCTAAATAGTGGACAGTCCTTAACCGTGACATAGATACCAAAATTGAAAAGGTTTAAAATGAATGGAATGCTTTTCTAGTTGCAAAAGTAGAATTTATCTGAATATTATTTGCATTTTTGATTGATTAAAGGTGTGCGAGACAAAATGTAGATACTGTGCTTCAGTAATGTTTTAAAAATCGTTTTACAGTCCTGTGTTCCTCGGCATGCATCCTAAAACCAAGATTCAAGATTTTTAGATTGTATTCATTCATCAGGCATATAAGATGCATTAGATGTGAACATAAAAGAAAACATTTACAACTGAACCAAATACTTCCCTTCCTGGTTTGTTTTACAGTAAATCCAAATTATGAGAAGAAATCAAAGATCCTGGATAATATGGTCAATTAATCGGTTCTTGCATATACTTGATTTTTGAATACAGTTGAAACAAACTATCATGTTTTGTCATATGTATTCGTTTTAACTTTACAATAGTCTAATACACAGATGAACATTTTCCGACCTTGCAGACGACAGGCTATTCTTATCAGTTGTATTTCGAGTAAAGAAAATCATATCTAATAAAGTCGACAGGCGGTAATATTACAGTTACTTTTAGTACATTCGGTGTTAAAAAAAAACATGTTGAAGTTTATATTGACTCGACGCTAAGATCTCTAGCTTTTCTTTGGTGTAAGGAGTTTTAAAATGGGACAATAAATAGCAATAAACTAACGTTATTTGTATGGTTAAGATCTTTTACACTTGCAATTCAGGACAGATAACTTATGGTTTTCATTCGATATGTCTTTGTTATTTCCGTAATTTATATAGAAACTGTTTATGGCAATAAACAACTGTTACTGACATAGGCAGAACCTTATATATGGATTCAATGAAGCAGTTTTACGTCCTGCAAAAGTCCACATATGTCAAATAAAAGTGTTGTTCGCTACACATCTTAATCTAAAATGATCTGCCAAATTCTAGACAATCAACAATGCACTTTAACGGAAGCTATTGTTTCGTGGGTAATATGATTGCCTCGCAAACGCAGGGATCGTAGGGTTCACACCGTAATGTGTCCAAGATCTTATTTTCTTCCAAGGACTTGTTAGTTCTGGGAACGTGACACAAGACAATAAAGTTCGTACAAGTTTTCTTCAAATTTATACCAGGTCGCCGGCAGGTCACTGTCGGCGTGTAAGAGATAACTTTGATACATGCATACCTTATAACCAATTAAATAACGAAAAAGCCATGTAATTGTTTGTGCATCTTGCATCTTTAATGTTCCAATAACAAAGTTAAATATTACGAATTTAATTTATCTAAAAGTTATAGAACATTAATTGAAGGCACATCCCCAGAAGTTTGAACATTCTCTGTTGGTTTTCTTCATACTGATCCTCAAGTCAAAGCATAAGAGTTCATCCCCACTGGTGTTGTCCGTCACACGAACCCTGGCTCGGTATGTACCCTGTAAAATATTATATCAAAGTTAAAGTGAAAATTTAAATTTACTTCCCTTTCCAGTTAAACATATTTTCAATCGGTAAGCTCTTAAGCATGTCCATAGATAATACAATGCCGGGAGTGGGGCCGTTATATGTCACAACGATGCTAAATGTCGCTAAATGTCGTAACATCCGCTTAATGTCTTAATTAAATGTCACAACAGTACAATTAAATATCGCAATATCTAGATTCATGTTAAAAAACTGGTATTATGTCAATACTAACGTTATGTGGGTGACCTGGGGACAAGCTATATAACAGATATGAAAAGATTTCATAGCGCACTTAAAAGGATGTAAACTGAAACCCGCTGGTTTGCGTTACTATTGTTGTATATAAATCAATTCAAGATTTATCTGAGTAAATTAGCCTGCTTATAAATAACAATAAGAGAATGGCATATTTTTAACGTCTGCATTTTATTAAAAGGGCGGACAACTCTTTGACTGTGATGTGTGTATGTGGTCGCACGGTTACTTTCCTTGCAATATGTCGTCGGTGCATTGAGGTCGCGTGGTCGAAAATCTCTAATAAAATGACAACATTCTCAAAGGTGTTTTGTTATGAATCCGTCTAGTGCAACATCTTACTTTTCTCAAAAAACCCTGTAGAATTCGTAATTATGAGTTTTAAAGCCCAATAAGAACTATTTTCACTTTCAACTAAGAGCTATAAAAGCATTATTAGGACTAAAGTTCCCTTAAATAGAAGAGATGAAAAAATCACAGGTTGTTACAACTAAATAAGAATTTTACTCCTATAATTAGGAGAATAAAAACCTTATAACAACTTAATAAGAAGTTTAAAAAGCCTAATTAGGAGAAATAAAAAAATATTAGAAGTTGAGAAATAAGGTCTTAATTAGTAGGAGCTTCAGAAGACTAAATATAAAAAAACTAATTTGAACGTTCCTAATTTTCCAAACTTCTAATTAGGACATGCAAATGCCTAATTTCATCCAACACATAAACTCCCTTAAGGGCCCCACAGATTAGGAACGCAGCTACCAGCAGCCAAGGTATTCATAACGAGGCTTCAGCAGCTAAGGTTAACACGTTACAATATTCTAAAACAAAACATTTACGCTGTAATCTTATCAAAGAATTTTTTATTGAGGATAGTGAAAAATTGGACAATAATAAAAATGGATGAGAATGACAATGAGGTATGTTTTAAAACGTTATTATTTAGATTTCTTTTTATTTGTTGTAATATTAGTTTTTACAAATTATAATAATTATAAAAAGCATCGCATATAAATTTTGCAGAGGCAAGTTTTATTAAAGAATCATTGATACATATAAGTGATGGATACCACGTCACAAAATTTAAAATTCTGCACTATGAAAACAGTTTTTGAATGGATACCACGTTCAACTGTTCAAAACACACAACAGCGATGGAAATACATCGCGTTGTTATTGACCGTTCAAAATGGACGGGGCATGACGGATACCACGTCAAATATGCTACAATACGAATCAGTATGTTATTAGATAATTGCCATAAATTTTGTTTTGTTAGCGATGGAAATACATCGCGTTATGGTAAATTTTTCATATGGTCGGCGAAAAGACGGATAACACGTCAAATTAGCCTAAATATCGAACAACTATGGTTTTACGTACAAATTAAGTTGGTAATAGATAGATATACATCATATAATTTCTTACAATAACGATATTTAAATTTGTACGATATTATTGCACTTGTTGCTTAATGATAGATATCTATCCATTGTCAGTCAGTTTATTCCTAATTAATTCTTAACACCAACGCAATTAAGGTCTTATAGCGATTTTCCAGCTTTACTGGTGGTGGAAGACCTCTGATGCCCCTCCTTGCACGAACAGGAACTTCAGTAGAACCACCGACGTTCCGTTAGCTGACTTGATAGCTTTCTCATTTGAAATGCAAATGTAATGGGATTCTAACCCACAGCGGCGATGGGCATGTAGATTGACACGCGTTCTAATTATAAATTTGATAAAGGACGCAAAACTATAAATTTAAAAAATTAGTATTATATTAACCAAAAGATGTTTGA